CCGGCGTGCACCCCCAGCCCCCCCAGCCGCTGAGGAAAACAACAACAACAACTCATCCCCAGGGACCTGCACCCCCAGACCTGTGCAGGTGACCCACAAACCCTGCAAACCCCAGCCCCAACAAGTGGAAAACCCCGGGTGCAGACAAAACCGGCAAGTGGGCAGGGAGCTGCACCGGCGTCCCCGGCCACTCACGGGGTGTAGTCCAGGCTGCAGCCGGCAGAGGTTTGCACAGTGGCAGGGGCAGCCCGGGAGCTGGGCTGCACCGGCTGCCCGCCTTCCCATAGAATTAAAAAAAGTCAATCAAATATTGACAATTAAGACAGATAACTGAAAATGCTGGACTCGATGTTAAGTAGGCTGTAAAAACGTCAGCGTGGGGAAAAGGGTCATCTGCAAAAATAAATCAACCCCTTTTACATGCCCACCCCCAAAAATGAGATAAAAAAAGCAGAAGGAAGGGCTCGGGGAGGGGGGCTCTTTTCTTTAAAAGTGGATTTCTAAATAACATTTTGGGGGAGTCCTTTTTTTTTCCTCTTTTTTGAGTGGGGGGAGCTTAACATTTTCCACTCTATTCTTGCACTTAAGTGACAGATTTATCCCAGTAAAATTATGTTTCGTGCTCAAACTTTGAAGGGAAAGTGGCTACGTAAATGCTGAAAAAATGCAGCGAGACACACTTGATCCCCCAACTGGACTGCGAAGAGGAGAAAGTATTCAGGAAATGTTAAAAAAGGTGAAAGTAAGAAGCGTTTTAATAGTTCTTCCAGACATGGGGGCCTCCCTAGAGATTCATATAGAACAATCCTGAACCTCTATTTTAACATTTACAGACTTGCAACTCTTTTAAAACTTTACATCTGAAAAACTGCTTTTTCTCTTCCTGATTTAGATCAGTCTTCATTTTCCTCCTTAGCTCTTCAAATGCTTAACCTTTTTTTATTACATTTTTACCAGAGTTTTTCAAACCACCACCAGTCCCCTCCTTCTGGCCTTATTTAAACCTGGTCGTTATTTAAATACGCATTAACTGCCTTTTAAACTCCAGGCATTATAGGACTAAAACAAGACAGGATTTTTTGCTTGGGAAATTAGCTAATGCCCTTTCAAGCCAGAGCTGCTCTAGGGTGGGAATAACTCATTTAGAAGATTAATGCTGGATGTACAGAGTACCATATAGATGGAATCTGTGCCGCACTTGCACTGCTAGTGTCCAGAGTGAAATTTTTAGCCAAGGAAAAAGGAAGAAAGAAAAGAAAAAAAAGAAAAACAGAAAGGGAAGGAAGAAATGTGTTTCTAGTAATCTCCCCAAGCAAGAAAGGGAAATTGCAGCTAATACCAAAGAAAAATGGTTGCGACTCCTCTGTGTGACACAGACAAATGCAGGCGCTCCCCCGATACAGGTGCAGGATCGGGTCCCTGCAGCCGGCCGCGTGGTGGTGCCGGCACTCGCTGCCCCCATGACCCCTGCACAGCGGCGTTTGACCATCCCAAGGTGTCATTAGCACACACCATCCAAGTATTTGGGCTTCGGGTGTCCCCAGCAGAGGGACAGCAGCAGGGGAGGTTTTGGGGAGGGGGTGCCAGGGCCAGTGCGATGGCAGAGAGGCCATAGCATGGGGCAGGCTCTCGTGCTCGCAGAGTCCCCCCAGCTTTGGGTCCAGAGATGCCGCAGCATCTTCACCTGCAGCCGAGTGCCTTGCTGACCCTCCGCTCAGGATTTATTTGGAGAGAGGAGGGACATCAGGAAAATGCTGCTTCAGACAGTTCTAGTTTAAGGAAGGTTTCTAAAGCAGCCGTTCCTGCTTCCTCCCCCCCCTTTTCTTTTTCAACTTTCTATTTATTTTCCAAAAGGAAGTCTCAGAGATCCCCAGCCCTGCAAAGAGCTGGGCTGAAATGACAGATGCTGCTCAGCACGCCATAGCCCCAAGCCCTCCAAGTCAGGTACAAACCAAGAACAAAAAAGAAAGGAGCAGAGCCCATCCTGCAAGTAATGATCCCCTACCTCAGCACCGGGAAACTGCCCTCACCTTGAATCACACAGCCGCTGAGCACTGGCCCCTATGTTCTCCTTTTACAAGCCCCCACAAGCCAAACGATTTTAATGATTTCTGGCTAACAAACAGGACAGAAATCCCTCCCTCTCCGCCTGCCCCCATCACGCATCCTTACCGTGCACATCCCCGTCCTCTGCCATCGCATTGATTTTCTTGTTGTCCAAGATCTGCACATGTTTCCCGCTGGTCCGGCTGTACAGCTGGTAGATACGGACGAGCCGCCGGCTGAGCTGATCCGTCACCAGGCTCTGCTCCCTCACATGCTGTGTAAAATTAGGTGGGGACTGAACAGTTACCTTTAGGAAATTAAAAAATATACGACACACCATTATAATCTCTACTCCTCAGAGGGGCGAATGGGCTGAGCCGAGATCACTGGCCTCCAGCCGGGCTTTATGGGGAGGTGCGGAGCCGGGACCCTGGTGGTGTCTCCTGTGCCAGCGAAGCCTCCCCAGGAGAAGGAGCATTAAGTTCTGCTCTGCAACCAGAGCCCTTTACGGAGACGTGCCCGCTCCAGACATGCCCTAAGCAGAGAGGTGCAGGTGGCTCGGGAATACGACAAGGCTCAGCAACCCCCAAAGGCCACCCTGGGACTCAGAAGGTCCCGGCTGGCACTGGAGTACCTGAGATGGGCATCTAGCCTGGGCACTGGATGGGGGCCATGATGCGGGATGGCACTGGGTTGCCCCCCCAAGGGGCTGACACACACGTCCCACTCCTCTCTCGCCTCTGCAGAAACATAGGACTGCTCCAGCTCCCTTGGACAAAAAAACACTGGTTTCAACAGCTGCCTTTCCTCTGGGTTCCAGGCTCTTTATTTGCTCGCAAGCACCCCACTTATTGAGATTTTTAAATATAAAGTTCACAGAGAAGGTAGAGCTATGAGGTATAACAGTTATAAGAAAACCATGCCCCAACCTAGGTATTTAATGGCATAAAAATCACAAGGATCCTAAAGCACTACCCGTGCAAACACATCCCTCATCCGCAGCAGCTGTTTGGTGCCGGCAGCAGGTTTGTCCCCAGCCCCAGCACATCAAACCCGTTAGCCCCAGAGCCGCAGCTGAGCCCATTCCCTCCAGACCCAGCACTGCTTCTCCTGGGCTTTAAATTATTTCATGAGCAGCCAAACCTGCTCCCCCCTCAGCCCTGGCTTGCAAGCCTGCACAGAAGTCTTTTTTCCCCCCTCGTCTCAAATCTCTCTTTTAAGTCTGGAAAGTTTCACTGCTCCCTGACATTTATAAAGATGTATTCTGAGCAAATGTTAGGAGATAGCTCCTTTCAACATCAGAAGGCTGGGACTACCCCCCGCCACCCCCACGTCAAATGGGAAGATTTCCTCCCGTCTTCAACAACAACAACAGAAAAACCCAATAAAAGCAAAAGCCACTGCTCTCCCAAAGCTGGCTTTATAGAGATATCTTCCCTTGACAATGTCATCTCTCTCCCTCTGCTCCTGCCTGTGCATATGTGTTTCCTATAGACGGGTTTTGGATAATGCAGCAGGATTCTCTCCCCAGCTCTGATGAGGGTACCATGTGGAGGAGAGGTCATTAGCCATGCTGCTATTTGGTCTCCATCTCATACTCCAAAATATTACAGCTATGTTTTTATACAATTGCACACTCCCAGCGCTTCATTCCCTTTGCTTTTCAGATGGAAACTCGATATTTTTTTTTCCAAGCTTCCAGGGAAATAATTGAAAAAAAAAAAAAAAGAAAAAGAAACTTAAAGGGCATTTTAAACAAAGCTTCTGCACCTGTGATCTCAGGGGGATGGGGGGGCTTCACCCTGGTTTGAAGGCACACTGCTCCCAGCGATGCGTGCCTGCTGGTATGCGGGTGTTGCACAAGCACTGCCCGGGCTGTTTAATCTATTCGTGACACTTCTGTCTCTGGCGATACAAACCAGTGATGCTCAAGTCTGACAATTTTAAGCTGAATCAAAACCTGCTCTTTTTAGTTACATTTTGGAGGGGGTAAGATCTCCCCTTTTTGATGCCGCTTTACTTTTTGGATGAAGCAGTGCAGGAAAACAACCCCAAATGAGAAGAACGGGGGTACCCACAGTGCCATTTAGAGGTGTGGGGTGAACAGGACTAATGCTACTTAAAAATAACCCTGCGCAATTCCTTGAAACCCCGAATCCTCCACACCTTATTTTGCACCCCAGGGGGCTCACCACTCAGCCTCGGCTTTTTACAGCCGGGCGACTTTTGTCTCCTGAGTTTTAAACTGTCCCTTCTCCTCCCTCCCGAGCCCGGAGCACAGGGCGGCGGGGACCCCCGATCCCCAAGGGACGAACAAAGCCGGGGGCCCGGCGGGCGCTTACCTGGGCTTGCAGGCAGAGGACGAACAAGTGCATTAGCCTGGGAGAGGAGAAA